TGTGGTGAAACTACATCAAAAATGAACAAACTAGACTTAGTTAAAAATAGAGCAATCAATAAGGATGGAAAAAAAATGAGCATGTCTCCGTTACACGCACGCATTAAATTTATGGAATGTGTTTTACACATTTCATATAATCTGCCATTCAAGTCTTGGAGAACAAATGCGGAAACACGTTCCATTAGAGAGACACAAAAGAAATTAATTCAAACACAATTTCATGAACTTGGTGTCAAGGTTGATGTAGTAGTAGTAGTAGTTGATGTAGTAAAACCGTAACTACGAATGACGTTAATACGTCCAGAAGATTTTTTGCCAATCCAGTCCTTACATCAGATATTACCGGATTCGATGAAGAACTAATCGGGCGTTTTGCAGTCATCCTTGAAATAATAACCTGCGATGAAACAGTAGATACCAAGAAATTTGGTGAATATGCATGGAGGATGGCAGAATTATTTGTCAATAAATATAATTGGTATAATATGCCATCCACTGTTCATAAAGTGTTGGTGCATGGTGAGGAAATCATGGAAACTTACTGTTTTTCAATGGAAGCGCTATCGGAAGAAGCCCAAGAGTGCAGAAATAAAGACTACAAACACTATCGCAGACTTCATTCAAGAAAGTGTAGCAGAAGTGCTACAAACGAAGATGTAATGCACATGATACTGTTGTCTTCGGATCTTTTCATAACCAATTTAAGACCTCAAGGCAAAAGAACTGATAATCTGAACTAACATTGAAATCTCTTCAAAAAAATTTAAAAATATGTATTATCACATAATATAAACAAATAGATTCATTCAACTAACCTACCATAATTCCATTGAAAAAATGTTTGTTTATTAAATAATTTTCATGACCCTTTATCTTGAGAACACGGATTAATAAGTTTTATTTATACTTATTTTTGTTCATTTACACTTATCAATATAGATTAAATTCACGTTTCTCTGGGTTAGAGGTTACTTTTTAAATAACTAGTAAGCACATTTGTTCGACATAAAATAATAAATAGAATAAACGTATTTTATAATTTCAGAAAAATTATCCGTTGTTGTTTTTTAACAATGTTTTTTGAATATTTATCATTATTTAGTTATAGTAAGTAGTTTAAGTGACTGTTTCTTAAACTCATATTAAAACTTTAAAGCATTAAACTCATATTAATATTGTACGTATTCAAGATTTGGCCCCCTGCTTCTAAATACGGAACTGTATTAGCTCAAAAACACAATAATCCTTTATTGTTGACCAAACTGAGGACGTATGCGAAAATTCAGCCCAATCGTTAAAGATTTAGCCCCGGGCACCGGAATATGGCTCTGTATCAGCGCAAAATCATGATCATTTTATTTTTTGTCCAAAATAAATGGATATGCACAGCTTCAGCCCAATCGGTCGGGGGTAAAAATCTCAAAGCCGGCGAATTAGCTAACGTCCACCTTCACAGTTCAAATGTCCGTTGGTTTTTAATAAAAATTGGCCACTTTACCGATTACATCGACGTCCGGACTATAAATTATTTCCTATCACCATCCATCGCGGTCGAGCCTCCAAAATGTAGGATTGTTTATCGTTAGTCTAAGGTTCTGAGGAAATAAACGCAGTCCGACGTTCTGGCAAATCAAATAAGACTATATTTTCACTTATTTACACAGCGCACAACAACTTCTTTTACACTTGGCATGGACAACAATTCGTCTACCCGTCTTTCGTCTTACAATTCGTCTACTCGTCTTTCGTCTTATTAAAGAAAAAGAGTAAGCGGCACGGCTTTTCGCGTTACCCACGTCTTTTATGTCTTTTTAGTTTAATACATAATGCCCCCGGTCAAGTGTCGTGACCTGCTTTTAAACCTTTCCTTGGTACGCATCAAAAGTAGACCCGAACTCTCAGGAAACACCTAAAAGCGGCTTCCTTTTGTGATCGGCTCACGTTCGTTAAAAGAAATAAAGTAAACATAACCCTCTATAATTAATTGCATGCAGAAATAATAAACAAAGAAATACCGCGCTCACGAAAACTAAACTGAAGGATATATTTTATCTACATATACATGTTTTTTAAATTTTAGGCAAAAATCTAAAAGACCTAGAAAATTGTTCTTTTCCAGAGAAAATATGGCTAATTGGTTCAAACAGTGTCATGGGCCACATCAAGAGCTATATTTTTTGGATTTGCGGTTTTCGTCTATCACATACGCTATTATTTCGGGGGCCGTCAAGACGTGATGACGTCATTGATTATTACGGCGCACTTCATGATTTAGAAAAAACTTATTTTGTCAAAAACCATTTACTATTTTCAAAAAATTCTTGGACCAGGAAATATCGAAGATCCAGGTCTATAATCTCTACTTCGAATATTGTTTGAATGTGTGTCGTTTATGAGCAAGAAATCTAAAATATTCTAAAAATTTCCGTTTTTCTGGGTAAATTAATGGCGATAAATAAAAAACCGTTGCAGATGGGACAATTTTATTTGAACAGTTTCGTAAACTGTGTCGAGAGAGAGTTTCGGGTTTCATCAATTATGATCCAAGTCTAAATTTATCCTTTCGTGGGCTTCTAAAAATAATATAAAACTAATCTTCTTCTTCTGGTGCCCTGCAGAATGTACTGCGTAGACGTTCTCCGTTTCTATATTAGTCTGTTCATTGCCGCGCTGCGAAGTGTCTCAAAATCATGCATTCCCGTCTAGTGTCTAATATTTCATAGCCATGATAGTCTCTTGCGTCCTAAGTCCCTTCTTCCGTCGATCTTCCCTTTGAGTATCAGCTGCAAGAAACCATATTTACTGCCTCGCATGATGTGTCCGAAATAAGCAACCTTCCTTTTCTTGATAGTGTCGAACAGTTCTGGGTCACCCATATTGAATCCCCCAAGTACCGCATCGTTAGTAACCCTTTCCATCCACGAGATGTTAAGCATACGACCCACACGGACCTGTCCGATCCTGCTAGTGATCTCTATCTCTGGGTCCCATTCGTCATTTAGTTGGCATCCCAGATACTTAAACTGCCCAACTCTCTCGATGTTTAGGCCGCCTATATTTATTTGAGCGTTTGGCAGTACATGTTTGCTTATTATCATGTATTTCTTGTCTACATTTATCTTTAGACCTGCCGTAAGGCTTGCCCTATTTATGTCGTTGGAGCAACTTTGATGCCCCGGTTGTTCAAAGAGGCCGCCTCAAGCAATGCCCTCTCCGCATACAGGTTGAAAAGCATGGGGGATAATATATAACCCTGTCTTATCCCTTTCATGATTTGGAACTCCTTCGTTGTGCTCAAGTTTGGCAACCGAACTTCTGCCGTCTGGTCCCAGTACAGGTGCCGATGATCCTTACATCCTTGTCATCCATGCCCAGATCCAGCAGCTATCGCAGAAGGAGATCATGTCTGATGTTGTCGAATGCTTTTTCATAATCTATGAAACATATGAATACGTCCTTCCGCTGATCCAGACAAAACTAATAAAGTTTTTAATATGGAAACACGGGGTTGAGTCGCCGATAAAGGACGCCGACGGTATCGTTCTGTGCGAATGGTAAAAGGGTGCCGACGGTATTAACTATTGGCGTATTTAAGTATTAAAATGATGTGGAAAACAAAACATCTTTTTGACAGATATAATAATAAAATAATTATATATATTTATATATATATATATATATATATATATATATATATATGTATATATATATATATATATATATATATATATATATATATATATATATATATATATATATATATATATATATATATATATATATATATATATATATATATATATATATATATATATATATATATATATATATATATATATATATATATATATATATATATATATATATATATATATATATATATATATATATATATATATATATATATATATATATATATATATATATATATGAGTGTTCGAAGTGTTTTCGGAGCGCGAGCATTGAAGATGCCAAGTGAGATTTTGGCGAAACGTCTGCAGGATTCCAGTCGGATGCAGGATTCCAGTCGGAGTTCAACGAGCGAACGGATGATATCCCGGAGTATAGTGTCATCATATATATATATAAATATATATATATATATATATATATATATATATATATATATATATATATATATATATATATATATATATATATATATATATATATAAGGCCCGAGGCTTTCTAAGCAATGACTAAAAATAAACTATATCTTGTAATAACTATGATTTGTATCTATGTGTTTTCAATCATATTTTGATAGACTTTCCATATTTGTGTCGTGTTTTGTGTTTTAGGTTTATAGTAATTATATGATGTTGATTTCTTGCTGTAGAAAAGTAATTTCTTATAAACAATAAATGATTGAATTGAATTGAAAATATTCTTATTTAAGCAGTAGTTGAGGTGTTGTTCTCAGTGGGTTGTTGTGCCCTTATTTGACTATCGTATGACGTAGAAAAAGTCATACTGCGCATTCAATCTTTTTACAGAAAAGTAAGTTCTTTTGCGATTATAGGAACACCACTTGGTGACCAGGTAAGCAATTGCAATAGCGACACACATAGGAAGAATGATAGACTCGGAAAAATCTTTTTTAACCACTCCAAGATTATTAAAATACTTGTTTACTGGAACAGACGCTACAACATATACACAAAGTATTAGTCCCTTCTTGGGAAGAAGAGACACCTTTTTTCACTAACTTCATCGTATGAGACTAGATTACTTCTTCAAGTTACCACGCTTTCGTTTTGTTTTGTGTAAACGTAGAGTTGCTCCAACAATGAAATTGATCCGTTGATCTCCTGATCTACTGGAACACAATAGATGTTGCGAACTGCCCATATTGCACTGCTAACGAATTGACAGGCGATGCAAATAAGTTAAAAGCCACCACCATCTTTAACCGTCCGCTTTCATTTTAAAAATCACCCCCAACGCGCAGCAGAAAATAACCTTCGCCACGCATCAATGTTGTGTTTTATTTCCAGCGGATCTATTATCGGAGCTACCCTATAGGGTCCAGCTATTATACGACTGTTAGTCTGCCTAGCAGCTCCTATTATCCGAAGGCATATCGGTGGTACTACGATTGGCCGAGGACCTACTCCTATTACTGGCCCAGCCGTTATTATTACTGGCCGAGCAGCTATTCTTACAACCCTAGGAGTTGGTATTCCTACTGGCCCTATTATAGGTCATATCTGACCAGTTTTTTAAAGAACTATTACCTGAGCTATTACCCCTCCCTTTATTATCGATCACTGGACTACGATTTCAACGAACTCGAAAACAAAATCGATAACTTAAGCGTAAGTACTACAAGGAAAGCTATATTGTAAAGATGATGATGATGACCAAGGTTGACAGTTTTTTGCGACACGATCAAATTCCGTTGGTATCCTTTTTTATCCCTCCGAATAGTTGTTTACTAATAATTAGATGATAAATTGTTACTTCAATTGTCCTTATTCACCTAGTCGATAGGTTTTGATTTCTATACGAAAACGCTACAAGGTCACCAAAAATAAAATATATTTTTAGTAAACTTAGGCAAATTGTTGAAGAATAAGTAAGGATTTCTGAAAAACAAGTCAGAATGTCTGGGAAACAAGTCCGAATTTCTGACATAAATCTCTCGTAAGGGATATTGCAAATTCACAAAGAATGGGACAAAGTTTTTATAATGTAATAATATAAATTGTTAATTTGAGGTTTTTTGACATGAAATTTACGAATTTGAAATTTACGAATTTGAAATTTATTTGCATATTGATCCTAGAGGGCGCTAGTTTTTCCATATTATTAAGATAAATTGAATCATTTTTTTTTGGATGTCGAGTTATGGTTGAAACATGAAGAAAGAATTATCCATTTTTCATAGAAAGATTGCCGATTCTTTAGGAATTACTCTGATGTTTCGATTGGCAATGTCCCTTAAGATGCAATTAGAGAGAGAAAGAGAGAGAGAACGTGATATCAATGGCTTTTGCAAATTAATTTAGTTGATAAATATATATTGAAATGTGTCAATGTTGTGTGTGAATGTGAAATGTTGAAATTGTAAATACGCAATTCTTTAATGGACACACATACACAAATGTACCATATATAGAATATAATTTTAAATCACGTCAACAATATCTGACAATTTAGAAAGGCAGGGAATAGCATGCGCGGAATTTTCCAAGCTTGGAAACTTTGGTGTGCATAACTTAATTTTTGGTCTTATTAATAGCGATTTAAGTCGTAGAACTCAATATGTCGCATCAGCCGAAAGTGTGCAGAGTACGGGTATTTCCCAGGGATCACATTTGGGTTCATTGATATTTAGTATTTTTCTGTCTGATATTGGAGAGTGCTTTTTACATACAGATTATGCGGCTTTAGCAGACGATCTAAACTTTTATGGTAATGTTAACACTTTTAGTGCTGAAACATTCCAAGATCATTCTGGTCTTGGGTATCACGTTACATATTAACGTATTATTTAAAGCACATATTGAAAACATTTTAGATACTACGCGCTAATTTATATTAAGAATTACGCAAGATTTTCAATGTTGTTTTAACCTTTTACCACTACGTTTAAATTAATAAATTTAAAATAATATTTTACTTAGTAGTAAGAAAGAGTTAATTGTTAGAGTAATTTTTAACCTCTTTTTTAGTTTTAAAGATAATTTCAGAATTATTCTGCTTAGAATTAGGAATTGTTTTGGTTAATTTGTGCCAACCTTTAAAAGGGCACGGTATGCCTGTTTGGATATCCTTTTGGAAATAACCAAATAAAAATAAAAAAAATTGCAATAGCGACGAGAACAATAAAATATTTCAAGTTACCTCATTTCATCATTTTGTTTCTCTTACTGTACACTGGGAGCAATGGCAATAGCTTTTGACTATTAATTTAGTTGATAAATATACCAGCTGGTTTGCTGCTCAAGTATTAAAATTGGGAATACGCAGTTCTTTTATGGAAATTATTACGATTTAATGCAAATACCATAAATAAGGGATATGAAACCGCTATGAGAAAAATAAAATACTTCAAATGATTTCGCTGATCATTTCACATGTTCTGCTTTACTAACATTTTTGTAATGTTTTTGGAATGGTAAAAGGGAGATATGAATTTGGTAGAACTCCAAATTTTTGAGTTCTAGATTTTCGCTCTCATTAGAAAGTCGGCTAAAACTAATTAAAAATGCAAGTTGAAATATTTTGTTTGCTGAAATATTATGGTTTGTATTGAAAAGAATAAATAAGCTTGGCTTGGAATTTCGTGATAATGTGCAATATTACAATAAATTACAATAAAAGGGATTTAATCATTTACATATTTCAATTATTCTAAATAACTTTTAGTCAGTCCTTCATAAATTTTGAAAATAATATTCCGGGTATATAAGAATAAAACTTTACACAGTGAGTACAAATCCTCTGCCTTTTCTCTTCCTACCCTCCTCTCCTTCTGATTTTATCCTACCCTATAACAGTTGATATTTTCTTTTTTGCATTGGGAAAAAGTTATGTTTAGCTCTCTTATTGAGAGACAATGTTTTTTGTCTATAAATAACGGAAAGAAAAACTATACAATTTTAACTACTTCAAAAGTCTAATTACCGGTTATTTAACGAATTACCTTTTTGAAAATCCCGGTCCCTTGGATAAATTTTATAAACAATAAAAAGCAAATTGTACTTCATTTTTAAAAGCAGATTTAACATTTTAGAAATATGTTACAATTTTTGGAATCTTCCTATTTGAATTTTTAACATTTTATCTCCATTATAATGCAGTTACGTATTATTATTAAACAATTTGTAGCACGTACTCAATGTTCATTTAGCGTTTAATAACAAAACCTGTGCCAAATATCGTCGGCATACAAAAAAAAACATTATGACAAATCCAAAAGGTGTTTGGAAGGTTTACCTTAGCGATGCACAAAAGTTCTATTTAAAGGCGTTAGTCATCGAATGAAAAATGGATAAAAAAATTTTGGAAGCTTTCCAGACCCCGGTCAAAATATTCTATTTCATATTAACTAAGGCAAAAGTCAAGTGGAGATCTCCGGAAAAGGTTGTTCGAAGCATAGGTGTCTGAAAAATTACGGTAAGTGAATGAAATGTTAATAAATAATTTGCCGTTTAAGTTTGCTATATTGGCGTTGCTTTTAGAAGATGCTGACTTATTTGAGGAATCCAATTTCGGGCTACGAATATTCTTTCTGGCCAGATGCGAAATTCTTTTATCACTACAAAATATATCGCCCACTGAGCTTCCATACAGATTGGCCCATAACCTCCAGGGAATGGTATCCGTACTACTGGCCTTCTCCGAGGTCTTATTGGTATTATTTGAGCGACAGTCCATCCGAACAAGCATTCAGGGATATTAGAGTAAGTGACAATTTGAAAATTTTTACAACCACCACATTTTGTAAAATGAAAGCGGTTAATTCAAATCTTACTTTAATACTTCTCTTAACTTAGAAACCACATATATACTGATTCACCCATTAATCTGGAGTAAATACGAGCTTTCTTATTTGAAATAGAACAGTCTGTATATTATTGCATTTTTTTAGTAGATATTTTCTATGTAAATTAATACGAGGTTAGCAAAAATGACGTCAATTGTTTGAATTAGAAACCCGATTTGGTATTAAAAATTAATACGACTTTGTAGAAGGCATTAGGTAACATCTATTTACTTGTCAGTTTGACACAAGTTCTGTATTATTGATTTACAAAACAACAAAAGTAATGCTTTAAAAAAGATCAGATAAAATATCCGTAAACGAGACTTCTCGGTACAACAATTTTTGGATGAACTCTTACATTTACGTGACCAAATTCTTATAAGACATACATGAAATATATCTACAATTTCTCAGGGAATCAAAAAATGCAATAATCTACAAGGTATATAAAATTAAAAAAAAAAAAATGATTCAAGTTTAACGGAAACTTTATTTCGTACACCCTGTACATAAGTTGATATTGCTGGGAACTACAAGCAGACTGAAATAGTTTTACCGAATACTTAAAAAAACAAAATAAAGATTAATAACTTCCAGACTTTTCTAGGCTAATAAGTAACATTGATTTTAATTAAGTAATATATTTCTTGAAATAACTTCCTATGTCAAGGATCTCGGGGTAATGTTAGACCATTGTTTAATAAACATATTGAAATAATAGTTGATAAATCGTGTCGAATCTTGGGATTTATGATGTGAGTTTCTAGAAATTTCAATAATCCGAAAAATGTGATTCTTTAATAAAACACATTTGTCAAGTCGCACCTAAATGGATTTTATATACATTAGCATATTGAAAACATCCAAAAAAAGCTTTTACGTTACCTTGTGTTGAAATTCAACCCAAATTTAAATTCGTTTCAAAATATTATCTAATAAAGTTGCATGTCCTCAAATATTATGTTGTATAAAGGTATTGGCAAATTCAAGATTTTTAAGAAAGTTAAATTTATTTTATTGAGCCTTTTTTAATACGAATTACACAAATGCAAAACAACTACAATCATTATTTAAGTCACATAGACATATTTCTTCTAAGGCTTAATTCTTCTACAAAACTAGCTATTGATAAGATTCATCTCACAGCATGTTCATAATATTTAATCATACTTTGATTCCTTGTTTTTTTTTCTTTTCTTGTTTGGTTAATTGGTGTATTACATTTTCATGTAAAATAGCATATAGCAATTAGTTAATACAGTGGCCCTACTACGGTTAAAATTGATGCGGCATTGATATTTAGAAAAGGTTAATGATTTTAAGAGCATGCCTCTATAATTCCCTGAGTAAAATTAAATGTTAAATCGCGTGCATGTGCATATTGAATGAATCTTTTGAAAAAAAATTTCATGCTTAATAAGTTCCTGTATTATCAGCATTAGCAGGCCCTCTATATCTTTAGTAGCTAAATAATAATAATAATAGACTAGAAATCCGAATCGAACTGATCGAGTTATGAAATATAGTTGCATCCCAGTAGGTTTTTTAACGGTAGTAGTAGAAACGTTGAGGTCGCCGACGTTTTATAAGTATTGATGTTTTTAGCAACTTAGAATAAAACTTTCACGTTTCGAGCAAAAAGTAAACCTATATTAAGTGGAGTTTACTCTACTCTACTCTACTCTATTATTATTACCTGCCATCTGCCGATATAAAATACAAATACAATACACTAACGAATACAAATGGCCATAACTGAAAATATGCCACATACAATTGAAATTCTCGGGTGTATTTATGAGAGATACTGTAATTTTTTCCTGC